AGAGAGAGAGAGAGAGAGAGAGAGAGAGAGAGAGAGAGAGAAAGACAGTAACGCAATTATCGGATGGCACGACGCTCTAGAATATACGTATTTCTCGTGGTCGCTAACATTGAGACGGAATCGTGCGCAACAAATATCTGAGCGACCAAAACGTCACGAAGTATGCATTTGTAATATTCGCACACGTGCGTGTGCGGCGTACACGATGTACACGTGTCAAAACCGGACTGCTCGCTCTTCGCTCCGCACACTACTGCTCGCTGTTGGTGCAGCTTGCGAGTATACTTTCTTTCTGTTGATATGTATGTTGAGAATATGCTCTCCTCTCTGCGCTGAGAAATTATATCCATATACACATGGTAGTCCCGGCTCTCGCTATAAAGTATCGCGCGAGCGTGCGTCATCGATCAAAACGACCGACTGCTCGACTCGAAACTAACGTGTATGTGTATATGTGTGGGTGGGTATGTATTAACGGTACATACTGAGAGAAGGAATATTTAACAAAATAAACAATGTTTATTCAACAGGTATTAATAGCATAGTTGAACCAATATGCATATTTTTGAGAAAAAATTTGTTTTAAGTGAGAAAGTGTGTGTATTTCCCTAAACCGTACAAGCTTTTCGTAAAAGTAATGGTTTATTTTATTTAAACGAAAGAATTTAGATTTAGTAAATATGTCATTTCAATACCCACCGAATAAATAGTGTTTATTTTTCAGATACTTTTTCTCCCACAGTGTATATACGATCAAATGTACTCAGCAATTACTAGGTCGACGACGTCTGTTTAACTGCATACTCGCGTAGCTTTCTGCGCGTTTTCGCGACGTTTATATCGCGCATACTCTATCGTCATTGTATCAATCTGAGTTTAATCAGCAGCTTGACTTGTGGTTCGTTAAGTATGCAGATAAAACTGTGACGTATACGACAATTTCGACAATTTTACATTATACAGGAAAAGAAAAGTAAGAAACAAAGAGAGAGTGAGTGATAGAGAAAAGGATCAATAATAGAGAGGCAAGAACAGAGTGAAAGAAAGAGAGAGAGAGAGATAGAGTTTAATATCTTGTGGTGGCGTTTGAAAAAGTACCTCGGAAGTGTTCTCCATGTGTTTCGCCACGTGTTCCGCCAGCTATGGACAAACATCTCGTGTACAGTAAAATCGCGCTGACCTGATGGACATTCGTAATTCTTCTCGTCACGTCTTTCCTTAACCTGGCCTTCAGGTCACTGCGACTCGTTTATTTACAGGGTGTCCGCGGCGCATCGTTAATACAATTTTGCAGCTATCTGCACGACAACCTGCTTCCGTTTCTCTTTTCCATTTTTCCTTTCTCTTTTCTCCTTTTATTTTCTACGACAATACTTACGGTCGATCTTTAGTCGCCGTTCGTCTTTCCGGAAAGCGATCAATGTGGGACACCTTATATATAAACTGTAATATGTATTGTTAATTCGATGCAAGGACGTCGATCGGACTAGTTCAAGTCAGTGGTTCAGATATTTTCTCGAATCAAACGACAGGATCGGACTTTGTAATTTGGTCGAATTTGAATCTCTTTGAGACGCATCTCAGTTAATGTTTCCGCGCTTCGATTCGGGCGGCCTCGGCGGAAATAATCGGAATGACTTTTGATCTCGGATCTCTCTGCCCTCGCAGACACGATCGACGTTTCGAATAAAGCGTTTAAGCCAAACATAGCACATCCAGCTCGACGACACAGTGAATAAAAAATAATGACGTGTTATGTAACAGTGTGTCTTTGACGCGACATCTCGTTGCCAGATATCATAAGTGAAAATACCTATTTATATGTATATATATATGTAAATATCACTCATTTATCCGTTCACGAGGAACGTTCCTTTCACTTGCATCCTTACCAGCTTCTCCAGTTGCTTGTATACTGCCGAGAAATATGGCACACCGTTCGTGCTGAAACACACAGATTAAACGTCGCGTGATTGTACAAATTGTTTAACACCTGAATAATGGCGCGTCTACTGCTTAAGTTAATCTAAATTAATCCGCGAGCTACAAGCTCATCAATTATTCATATTAATCTCCGTTACACCGTGCAATGCATTACATGATAATTGCAAAATAGAATAGGATAATAATACATATTTGATTCTATCAAAAAACAAGTGAATTTTCACTTCTATAAAATATAAAAATCGTATAATATAAATCCTCACAAAAATTCTCTTCGTGAGGATTTTTATATTTTTCAGAAAGAATATGTAAAAATGGATCTTGATGATATATCAAGAATTAAGGCATTGTAAATTCGCGAAGTAGTACTTTTACGCTTGGAAAGCGTATATTGGAAATATGAAAAAAATTTTAAAAATGAGATAGGACAAAAAAAGACGGGAGTGATAAAAGACCGAGTAAAGTACTGCTAACATCTTTCGCCTCTTTTGATAGAATATATTCTTAAAGGATCTTATTTCCTAAATACAATCGTTTCAATTCAAATTTTTATGCCTTTTAGAGTGAATTCGCGTAAGAAACTTACCTTTCAAAGAGACTATTATAACATTCAAGTCCCTGCTCGAGATCGACCAATAATGTGGTTACTAAGTTCGTAAAGTCTTGCAGGACCCGGTCGGCGTCCTGATCGGGTTCCTGATCGTGGCACATCGTCTGTTGCCTGGTATCCTCGTACCTGTGAAATTAGAATCGACCTCGATAAAAAGTTTCGGTATTTGCGTCGTGTCTCGCGTTACTCTTTCTGTCCTTATCCCTCATATCATGGCTGTGCTCGATCCTCCACATAGAGTTTCAGCGACAACATTTCACACACGCACGTGTGAGATCAATTTTACGTATGAGATTAATTGGACTTTATTGTGCAAGAAGTAATTTACCATTCGAGAGTTCCCTTCCTGAGGGCGGTAATAATTTCTCCCCGAATTTCCTTGTTGAAGGGACAGCAAGTGCGGAAAGCCTTCATATTCGAGAGAAGTCCCAGACATCTGGAAAACAGACACGCGCAATTTTTCATATTACTTTACATATCAATTACACCATTCGAACTTTTCGACATTTTTTTGCACATTCAGCTTCCATCGGGATCAATGAAAGTTGGAGATTGAATTCTTCGTCCGTACTTTAGCGTTACGTGTATCGTAAAAACTTACCTGAGTAAGTACTCCAACTTCACTAACGTCGGTTCATGCTGGGGTGGATACAGCACTCGGTGCTGCCTGACCTTCTTCAGGGACATATCTAAGAAATCGTTGAAGGAATCCGCCAGGCACTGTTCCGCGTCGCGCGACAGGGTCTCCGTGTGCCATCGGCTGTTAAGCTCCTGAGTTCGCGAGAAAATTAGAGTTCGCAATCGTTACTCACCAATTGGATTAGCTAAGCAAGTTAAGTCCAATACCCACGCCGAGCAAAGCATGCCGAAAGTTAAATTTCTCGCTGCAGAAACTTGCTGCAGAAGCGGCATGCATGGCTCCTCGCAAAAAAAAAACAACTTTAAATCACGTCCCGTGGGCATTGGGCTTTAGTTTCGATAGTGTGTTTCCGTGTGTTCGCAACGTTTGTTACCTGGAGTAGCCGATAAAGCGTTCGCGGGTCCACGGCGGGCTGTCGAGAACTCGCCACCCACCTTATTAAAGCTTGCTGCAACTCGGTTACATCACCTTGCACCGCGTGCTGATGCAGGATTGTCAGCGCGGTTTGCGGCAGTTCCCCAGTGAAGTCTACCTGGAGAACACGTATCAATCAATCGCGTATAAAACACGCGTCCCACCAACGATCCGTGGATTATGGAGAGAGATGAAGAAAACGTCCCTGCGACTTATTTCGTTTAATTCGATTACTTCTTATCTTCCCAGATAATCTGGGAACCATCTTTATGATCGCCATGACGTGTGAGACAATCGACAATATCAACTCTACAGTTTTGTAAATTGTATTTATGCAAATGTAATATATTTTCGTATTTTATTGACGCAGCAACAAATTTATTAGAAAATACACTCAGATTCTCACGTTACATTTTACACGATATATTGTTTTGAGAAAGTTCTAATTATTTCTCTAATATATTTCTAATACGTCACTTCATATGAAAGTCATGTGAAGCACTTAGGAGATACGTCGCGTGACGTAAAGTTGTCGTCATATGTACGTACACTTGTCTCTATCTGGATTATCTCCCGACTAATAAATAAAGAAGAAGCGTGACGAAAAAAGAATTACGCAATAAGAAAATGATTTTTCGCGCGGAAATGTATGTTCTCGCATTTGTTTATCCCATTCGTATTCCCTCGTTTATTTCGAATAACGCGCTGAAATATTATGACGATATGCACACGTGGTGCGACTTATAACGCGTTGATTCCATATTGCACGTCTAACAACGTAGGTGCACGATATTACCGTGGCACACACCGGAGGAAAATATACGACGTTGTTATGCGGAATATGTGATATAAGCAACATTTTCCGCGCGGCGAATACGCGCGGGTGTGTCCGTGTTATACGGTTATACGTACCCCTTGTTTGTTCATCTCGTGATTAAGGAAAACCGTATACAGCCTTTCCTGTTGCCTCAGCTCGCCCCAATTATCCTCCTCGGACGTTCCCCGGTCCTCTCGCGTCGACAGCCATAATTTCAGTCTGATTCTGCCTTGGATATTACTCCTTTGTGTTCGCGCCTCAAGTTTGTACCATTGGTCGAGTCCGGTGCTCGGGATTTCCTGCACAAAGACCGCGCGTATTCGTATGGTATGCTTCATTTTCAATACTTTATTTTCGACACAGGCCATTAGAATATAATTTGAAGTGCGTGAATGCAAACGGAAGTTCCCAAAAATGGTGACGTTGGTGGCACTCCGCTAGTTTATTTCGAGATAATCGACTTTGCAAATTTAACAGTTATTTTCAATCGATTTTGTGTTATATATATGTTGTTTAATTAAAAAATATTTCCAATCATTTTATCATGTTTCTCCTATTAAAACGTGTGAAAATGATTTAACGGTGCAATTTATGGTATTAAATAAGAAGGAGCGAATATTAATCAGATAATCACTTGTAAGGGAATGTTCACGCAACCCAAGAAGTCGTCCTGACTTCCGGATCTAGCGCTCTGCGCGATCTGCTTAAAGAATCGTCCGAGCCCTTTCACACCCCGCACTTCATTGAGTTTAATCACCGCGTCGAACACCGAGGATTCGTCGTCGTGGTCCCTGAAATCAATATCGCGAATCTAAGGTCTCGAGAACTTTCAGTGTAAATCGCAAGAGGCACTCGTATCCAGATTGTGTTTCATATATCGTAATCTCGTATCGTAATCGTATCACTATTAATAATAGATCAATAGTCACGATCTCTCAGTCATCTTCTGGACCAATCAGTCCATTAAACTCGGATGAACAAATTCTGAACAATTTATTTTGCTACTTCCGTGATATATGTTAGGAACATGCTCTCTAAAGTACAATCAATAAAATCTTGTTGAATTAGTTAATAGTGGCGAATATTTCCATTATATTGATGCACTTTGCGGGCACAGACAAGTGCCGTTGCATGCAAATCGCACGGAAGCCATTAATTCCATTGTCACAGGTGCAGAAAATGGAATTTGGCTCAGCATATAACGAATTCGTGTGCCACAGATTTTGCAGTGAAATCTCTAGTAGCATATATCGGTTTCACATAGATTTCCTACACGTATGTAACGTTTTGTAATTGTTTGTAAAACGTTTCGGAAACGTTCCTAAACAATGCATGCTACCTGGAATTTTACTTTCATTGGTGAAAATCAATGAGATATAAGACGGAGCAATAAAAAAGGGGCGCTCTCTCACTAAAAATCAGAAAACATTCACAGACATTCGCTGAAGTTCACTGAAATCTCCCTCTTACTGATTCAATCAGGAACACTTTTACTGATTCATTTTAAAAGAGTGCTTCCGACGTTTACCGACTTTTGAGAAAGGATGCGTACATATCGTGAACTCACCATATGTCCAAATGGAGAATATCCGTGCTGACGTCGTCGATGTCGCTGAAAGGAGAATCGGAACGGACGGTTATGCGTGCACACGAATTTAGCGCTACTTAGATTAATAAAGAGTCGCCAATTTACGAGGGGATCAGACCCCAAAGTTTTCGCTTACAAACGGAACTTCTCGTTCCATCGCGGGCTCAGTGTATGCGGCTTCACCGTGGTGGCTCGTATAAACTTCGCGGGTAAAGCACTGCTCAAGGATTCGCGGTGTTCCCGCCTGCTGCTGTGCTCCTTGCGCTTAAACGAGAGCCTGAAACTGATTTCGAATAGAACAGTTTACTAACTGCCAACATTCGTCGCTCCGCTAACGGCTCGTCCTAATCACCAAACGTTCTCCTCTCATCGCGATTCGTCCCCGATCGTTTCAACCTCCCGCTCGGCCGTCGTCGAGGCGACTCGACGACTCACCTACCCCTTCGTCGTGGACGGAAATGTCTCATGTGATCGACTCGCGGCGGGGGAAACAATACAGATGTAACTAATGCTCATAAACGATGCTCATAACATTCAACATTGAAGCGCGTATCCTAATTTACGATCGTTGAATCTTTCTTCGCGAGCGACATCGCACTCCTCGCGCAACGCTCCTTCTCTGCGTAACGAGTTTTCAACTCCGCAATTATATGCCATTGCGACTGTTCTCCCTTTAATTAAGTATTCGAGAGTGCACGAGTGCGACACGGTCGCGACGCTAATTTCCGAAATTGGAATTTTGATGCTAATTAGCAAACTGTGTCGTCCTTGTCTTCGTTCTCGTTATCGTCGTCGTCGTCGTTATCGTCGTCATCGGCAGCGTATAGGGATCTCAAGTTTTCCTCACAAGGCTTCCAGCTCCTCTATGCCGAGATGCGGCATGACACCGTCGGTTGTCGCCGGTATCCAGGTGAGATTTCGCGCGGATGACGAAGAAGCGCGGCGGCGATTCGAGTATATTGGCGCGCGGCCACGTCGCGCGTCTCGTCGCAGCACAGCTCGTGGTGTACTGTTCCGCTCTCGTTGCCGTCGCATTAATCACTTTGCTTATACCGCCAGGTGGCGAGCGAAACAATGCGGGGAAGATACACAGCAAAATAGGCTTTGCTCTCAATGTGCGTCCTTCCCCCTCGTTCTCTATCCGAACGGGGAACGACGCTCGCCGACAGAACTTGCCGCATCCGGCGCGTGCATTGTGCGTCTCGTCGCATTGTCGCAAGTGTCGTCGGAGTTAGCACACGGTAAATGCAGCTATCATTGGCCGATATGTGGATTCGTAGCGCGCTACCCGAGATTCGCTGCTCTACCCGATTGCTTCGATTCTTTGTTCCTTGATCATACTTGCGCATGCGGCTTCATTAATCGCTCAAACACTTACTATTAGGTGAGCAAAAAAGAGTTCTGAGCTTTTTTTTTGCAAAATTCAATCTTTATTCAAAAGCAAAAAATATTAATCAGCGAAATATTCCCCGTTTGCATCAACGACCTTTTGCCATCTTTCGGGCAGCTTGCGAATTCCTTGACGATAGAAGCTCATCGGCTTCGAAGCGATAAAGTCATTAATGCATTTTCGTATCTCTTCAAATCTCACTGAAATATGTATCAGCCAAGTGATGCTGCAGCGACCGGAATAGGTAGTAATCGGAAGGCGCCATGTCTGGGCTTAAACGCCGCGTGCGGGAGAAGTTCCCAGCCTGATGCAAAAATATGGTCCTGAGTCGCTTTCGCAATATGTGGTCGGACATTGTCATGAACCAGGATCACTTTACGACTTCGTTGGCCAATAAATGGCCTCTTTTCTTCTAATGCATTGCTTAAATCGGTCAATTGTTGTTCAGCACAAATCACTTCAGTGGCTTCAGCAGCATTTTTCTTTAAATAAAACGCGAAGTGAATGGAAAATCGAATATGCTTTTTTATTATTGCCATCGTGAACACTACTGATTTTTGAGGTTATGTGCATCAAACGTCAAACCGCATAGCCTTTTAGAAGGCGAAATGTCAACGCTTTAAAACCACAAAACGGCGGGGAGATAAATACAATTTAAATTGTTGTTTCGGTTGCATGAAATCTAAAGCTCAGAACTTTTTTGCTCACCTAATACATCCAGGATTATTGAATATTTTGGACTAACCGTGTCTCTTTCTACATAATTATTTATCATGACTGGTTCCCGAGAAATCGGGAACGATGTTCCAAAAGAGCTGTGACAGTTGGTTTCCCGAACATCGTTCCCAATTCCTCGACAGACGTGATAAATGCATATGCATATGCAGAAAGCGACGCATCTGGTCCGAAATATCCACTACTTCTAGTAAATGTTCGAGCATCAATCAAGCGGTACGTGACATTATATTCGTTATAATCGCGATTCAACTGAGAAACCTACGTCTAACTCTAAAGCCTGCATTAATGATTGTCATCTGAAACCTGTCAAGCCGAAAACTTAAATTCGAGCATCTCACTCTAGTGACTATTAATAAGGACTTTAGAGTCATGGACGCGTAATATTTCACGATTTGGCCGTGAATCGCGCTTGGATTTCTCTTTGGCCGAAGGAATCGCAAGTCGATACTTTTTAATCTCTTCGATGTAAGCGTGCCTCAGTTATGCATTACTTCTCGCGATATTAACTGCCACGCTCAGGTGTGCACTTATCTTAAGTAGCGCGCTGCCATTGTCTCATCTCAGCCGCCGATAGCGGTAGACGTGCCGCAATATTTCACAATGAGCGACGTTTTCGAAAGTGCCGGCCAACGCGATCGCGATTGCGTTGTCTTCGCATCAATCGCGCCGTTGTAATATCGATAGTCGATAACGGATTATTCCCGCTTCTCCGAGGGGCGGAAAATAAATCGAAGGGGGGAGAGAAAGTTCACGTCTACGTCTACGGCCTCCTACGGCGAGAAATAAAGAATGGAGCCTCTTGTATGCCGTGAGCAGAAACAGCTTTATTGACGAATGCTTGACACAACATCTGTCGTCACGCTAAATCGAAAATTCTGTCGGACACTTTAATCTAACAATCATCATACACACACACACACACACATATACGCACACATACCCACGCAAGCGCAACAGGGTTCAACCCTTTCGCTACGGTCGCCATTTAGCTGCGGACGCAGAGTTTTGCTACGTAATTCATAATATAATTAGTGGGAGAAAAGTTGTGACACTTTAGCCTCGACAAACTTCAGAACGCATAATAAGGAAATTTATTTTCTGAGAATTTTTTGCTTCTGAGGATTAGCAGAGAGAGAAACAAGATCTCCTTTTAAATGCGTTGCAAAATTCACTGAGATAGAATTGTTACAGCTTTTCTGCCACTGGTTGTACTTACTACGTTAGTATAAGGTAAGCTATTAGCTAATAAATTGCGTTCAGCAGAGAAAGCTGCCACGCAACTCATTGTAAGATTCGTGGAACTAATCGGTGAATGCTCTTAATCTTGGCCGAGAGTCTCGGAGTACCAATCAGATTCATCGAATTTTACAACAGTTGCAGCTTCCTTTGCTGAAGCGGCCACAGTGAATGAAAGTTGCATTTAGTAGTACATCGAAACTGAATTGAGCAAACTGCTGCCCAACAACAAACTATCCACTGAATATTCCGTTGCGAGTAATAGAAGTGAGCCACTGTAATGGCGTTTCATCCTAAACGATCGCTTAGGGGGTTAGCCACTCTGGTGGCGTTGCATCCTAAAAAGTCGTTTAGCGGAACAGCGCTACAGCGACGCAAAGTGGTAGCGAAAAGGTTAATCTCGCGGCTCGTCAGTTCGCGTCGCTGTTGGTGGTCGATCGGCAGAAGTACAGCGGAAGCGCGAAGGTTACAACGATGATCTCGTGGAGCGTCCGTTCTTTTTCTCTTTCTTTTTTTTCTCTCTTTTCCTGCATGTTCATTCGATCGACCTGCATCACCTGCCGACTTACCTGTGATGCTTGCGGAGCTTCTCGTGATGCGAGTTCTCGTTCTCGCCGCCGTCGGACAAGGCGCGGGTCGTTTGGCGCGGGGATGCCGGGGGTGTGTGCGGCGAGTGAGCTGTCAAGTTCGTTTGTGGGCTCAGTGGCGCACCTGCGTTGCCGGGCTGTATTCCCAGCATGCAGTAAGGATCACTGAATCCTGAGAAAAGCGCTCTTTCAGTGAAAGCGGCCTGGCGGAATTGCCAAGACGGATCGCTTGCTCCACTCACCCTCCCTCCCTCTCTCGCTCTCGCAATTTGCGGATTTTCCGTGTATAACGTACGGAGAGAACGCATCGGATAATTGGAGCATCTAATCGAAATCAATCAATCGATCGTGAGTGTTTTCGGCTGATTGCTTCGCCAGCGTCGAAATCCTTTTGCGGAATATCGCGGGAAGCCGACGCGAGTTCACCGCGAGGTGCTTTCAAATTTTCAAGATTAAACATTCTCGTGTGGCCGAGTTAATTCGAGAAGTTAAAGTTCAGCACGCGAGGGTATAAGACGGCTCGTTAAATTAACCAAAGAAAACGGGTTTCCGTCGTATATTCGTTTGCAGTTCGGACGAACTTATTGCGAAAGAACTTCACGACAAAAAAAGAATGGTCAACCAGAAAAGTAAAATATGGTATAACTCCTTTTTTCTGATTTCAAGAATTAATTCTTGATTGCGTTGATCTACCTATTCAATATTTTACTATTTTCTGGTTGATACGACCATTATTTTTTTCGTATTCTTCTTGCATTGAGTGAAAAAAATTGGTTGAACTATTATTATTATGGGCAAGGAGAGGGAGGGCTCCCAGAAGCAGCCAAAAGGACCTAAGTCCATTGTGTCACTCTTGTATCCATTGTACCATAATACCGGTATTCATCATTTTACTCCTGTATAGGATCTCTCCACACACAGATATACACGGGACCTACAGTTCAACGCCTGTTCCAAACGACCGTTATAGAAAGATATTCTTGGCAGAGGTACTCTCGGTGGTTTTGACGTTGTTTACCAAGAGGAGACGATCGTATGAAAGTTTCCAATTCTGTCAGGAATCGAACTTGGTACCCCTCGATACAATAGATCGGAGCTCGGCGAACGCACTTTCCGGCCGATTTTCGGACGGCTCCGCCTCGCATTGTTCCTCTCGCCTTGTTGTTGTCCCGCGATGCAGCCCACGAGTTGTTTGAGCATCGTTCGGGGAACACAACGCAAGAGAAACGCGAGGCGGAACCTTTTGAACATCGGCCAGAAACTGCATCGTTTGCTGAGCTCTATAATAGACCAACGTGCTGTTTACTATACCACGCTCGCCTCATGTTCGATCTAACCACAATTGTAAATACTTTTAGCTTCAACCATATTTTCTTATAGTAAAATGATAGTGCACGTAAAATTGTTATCACTAACACTGTAATAGAATTTAATGCAAAAGTATAAGTTTCTTGACCTCAATTTATAGTAATTATTTAGTTATGTGATTACAGTTATGAATACTAAAAATACTTTTTTAGCGCGTTTCTTTTTTGAGTTTTGTGTTTTTAAATCGCGAGAGCTAAGCACGGCAGCGCAACGGAACAGAATGCACTCACCGTTAGCGTCCTTCGCCTCGAGCCCATCGGCTTCGATTACCACCACGCTCAGTACAACGATGGGTGGCTGCAACAATGACAAATAAGTTACGTGCCGTTTATTTTCACTACAGTGTTGATAACGACGGCCAACGGCGGCCAATAACGACCAAGACCCAACGGCGACACATTTTTCGCCGGTGATGCGGCGGCTATTATATATCGCTGACACATTCCTTGTATGTAATCCTTAAATTCCATAACTTTAAAATCTTATTTATTCGATTACTCGATCCCTCGCTTCTCATTTAAACCTTAAAAATTAGAAATAGATAGGCGCTACTATATAGAGATAGATAGCCGCTAAATAGACAATAAATCAATGCAATTAAAAGCTCTAAAATCTAAAGGAACAAATTATGAGGCAAATAAGAGTAAAACGCCGATTATTTAGGCGGAATTGACGATATAATAAATACCAATATGATATACAATTTTGTATTATTATTGTATTATATTTTGTATTAAAAATAATTCAAATGTTGGTTCAGTATGATTGCTGTTGCGAGTCTCATCTGATTTTTAATATTGGCGACATTAATTTCTTATGCGTTATTAATTACTTTTGTTACTGAAGAGAATCCAAAAGAGAACTGAAACGTTTGAATTATTTTTGTAATAAATTGTATATCATATTGGTATTTATTATATTGTTAATTCCGCCTAAATAATCGGCGTTGGCTCTTATTTGCCTCATCATTTCTTCCATTAAATAGACAGATTGTAAAACACGCCATAGAATTTTTAAGATACGATAACCACAAAAGGGTTATTAGTCACACTGATGAAATATAAGTAATCCCCCTGAGTTCAGCCTTGAGTTCTCGTTTGTCTATCCAACGTCTAGCTCTTGAGAGCAACCTACAACCTAGAAAAAGTATCATCGTTCAACTGTAGATCGCGCCGTTTGTTTCTCATCCCTCATTATTAAAATTACGTTCGTGATCCCTGCGCCGTTGCGGACGTAACATGACACGCCGCCGTTGGGAGCAAAGTCAATAAGTTGACAGTATACCTTCTCCTCCGAGACGATATTGAGATATCGCCGGTGCTGATCCTGTGGGACGCCGAAGGCTTCTTGGGCGTACCGATACAGGTCCTCCTTGTAGTGCGCGTACTGCCCCGTGCTGGCGCCCACCGTGTTCGCAATCGTGTAAAGGACTTCTATGTACAACTGCTCCATCTGGAAAACGCGCGGTGCCATCTTTGGTTTTTTTAACGACGATGTACACTCAGGGAAGAAGATGGTATTGGCAACCTTATAGGTGATAATTATACGAGTTTTGTATATAGAATTGTGATATGTACACTGAGAGAAAAATTATATTAAAATCAACAAATATTTCCTTGATGGGTTAATGACATTGATGAGTTGATGACATTAACATATTTACTTAAATCTACATTCTATTTATTTAAATTAAAATAATTATTGTTTACCTGATTTGAATAAGCAATATTTGGTTTAAATAAAGAGGATGTAGATTTAAGTAAATATGTCAATATCACCCATCAAGGAAATATTTGTTTATTTTAATATAATTTTTCTTTCAGTGTATAGCAACCTTTGACTTTGAGAGACTGACAGCGTACAATATGGTACAGTAACATTGTTTCTCTCTGTAGTCGCCGTGCGTTCGGGATCGCGCCAGAGATGTCGCTTCCGTACGGCATCTCTGAACGTTATCTAGGGAGAGGAGAGTGTCGCAAGAGCGTGGAGCGTCAGATAGCTCAGTGGTTTAGAGCAGTTGTCCTGCAAGCGAAAGATCCGAGTTCAAGTCCCGGCCTAGCAGATCCACTCTGGATATTTTTCTTTTTCTGGAAAAGATACGCAGATAGCGATAGAAGATACCATAGAAGGAAGAGGGCAATAACTAGGTTCGAGATCTGCGTATCTTTTTGTTCCAGGAAAGAGAAAAATATCGAGAGCACGGTCCTGCTAGGCTGGGACTCGAAACCAGGTCTTTTGCTTGCCGGGCAACTGCTCTAAACCACTGAGCTACTTGACGCTCCACGCTCACAACACTCTCCTCTCTCTAGGTAACGCTCACAAGGGGAGGACCAAGTGACTCACCCTGGGATTTCGACCCCAATTTTTTTAATTATTCTGGAGATGAAAAAAAAGATACGTGTCCTGGCGTTTGATAGAATAGGCCTTAGTTTCGGAGTAATAAATTTGTGAAAATATTTAGCCATATCCGAAGCGCACCGCAGCGCGA